TGCCTGCACGCCTTTTCTCATTTCGGCGGAAACGCAAATTCATACTCTCTTGCGCGAGAAAGAAAGCCATGAAAATACCTCGGTAATTGCCGGACTCTTCAACTCGTAACAAAATTTAAATTTTCTATGAGGAAAGGAGATTTAAATCGGAAATCTTGATGTAATATCTGATCTGAAGATCGTTGTTGTGAGTCTCGATCGTTGTCTTATTCGCTAACTTTGTGAAAATTGTGGTGACAATTTTTCTATAAATAATTGTATCTTGACATATAATATACGGATCTACTGAAGAGGATTTAAGGTGACCGAAACATTTGGAATATTGTTTAATTATTATCAAACTTACTGACGGTTAATAATAGTATTTATTTTATTCATTATAGCACTACAATAACCGTGTTTGGCACTTCACTTATACTTCGATTTAATATATTCAAACGAGACTTTAATTTGTAAATTTAATAAGGAAAGGGTTTACAGATATTCGCTTCTGCTTATTCCTATCGATATACCGATAACCTATAGTTTGCGAGAGCTCCCTTCACTTTCAATTCACCGTGATGTAAAAGCGCTCCCTATCTTGAGATTTTCTTCTCAAGGAAAAAGTACACTTTGACGAGAGATTTAAAAAAGAAAAAAATACGTATAAATATACATCCAGATATAATAAGTAGAGATGGCAAGATCGAAGCGGCGCGCGTAACGCAAGACCTGAAGAAGAAGATGGACAGAAAGAAGAGAGGATCGAAAGAAGAAGGAGCGAAACGTAAGAAGAGGCAAGAGACAGGTGAACGTCCCTAACGACACTTTCATACTCGAGTCGGCTTCTCTCCCGCGCGATTCCACCGATAAAACTTTCTTCATGAATATTTTATAAGTCGATTCAGGTGTGATACAACTCTCGGCCAACGATGCATCATCGCGCGCGTCTTAGCCGCGGATACTCCTGATCGGGAACAGCTCGATCCCTTCGCTATCTCTGATCCACCTCGCCGTGTCGACGCGGACAACGATATCCCGATGCGCTCTGGGTCTGGACATGGCACAACCCCCGTGTATCACGGGCTTACGCGTATATCGGGGCGCTTAGAGCCGACTATGAAGGCGTATTTAACTGATACGCGGTGTGTAAATGATCTACCGGGCAGAGAGGGGAGGGGCGGCGGGAAAGGAGGAAGTGAGAGAGGAGCGACCACTTTGTCGTCCTCGAGATTCTATCGTCTCCGTGTTGGGGCTCGCGCAAAGGACTTCGGTGACAAACGTTCATACATATTTTACGACCCTTAACCCTCTGGGCCAATCGGATCCATCAGACTCGAGTCTGTTTCTAGAAATAACCGCGCGATAAATTCGGAGAACGGAATGATTGTGTGCGTGTGTGTGTTTTTCATGGACGCTAAACGCGCACGGCGAATGGGAACACCGCGCAGACCTACCAGACTTCATTTCTTCTTCTTCTTCTTCTTTGTTCGATCGTATCGACAATTTCGGACGCGCGAGCGCAAAGCGCCGGACGATAGAATTATCCGATAAAAAAAGAAATATGCCGCAGCATTCTTCCTTATCGAAGACCATCCCTCAATTCGGAAGGTTCTCGCGCGCGTGTACTTTCACCGACCGGGCCGCGCGTAGAGATTGCGCAGGGGTCGGTAAAGGTGGAGGTTCTTCGTTTTCCTCCCCGGAATTTTTTAGGCCGCCGAGAGCACAATACGCGCAGTCGTCGTATCGCAGTACGTCAGCTCTTTCGACTCCCATCTAGCCGCGTTTTTCTTACGCTATACGCTACAGTACAGTCGCTGTAGTTGAGCGTTTCTTCGGTCGTCTCGGTTAGCTTCTTGCGGAATAACAAACCGAACTTACCGGCCGTTTCGGTCCTTCACTCCGGCTCGGTACTCGTCTCGCTCTCATGTTTGCTTTACGTTCCGTCGCGTCGCTTCTCTCTCTCTCTCTTTCTCCGCACCGTCGTAGTCTTTTCGACGCGCGAGTTATCATTTTCTGCTTAGATCCCGCGAGGTGCACCCCGTGTACACCTCCATCCTCCCGATCAACTTTCTTCCACTCGCGCGGATCTTCGCGGCGAGCTACATCTTCCGAGGGAAAATACTCTCTCCTCCTCTCTCCGTTCGATCTACGGCTCTCGTCGACTCCGCGTTCGCGCGCTATTTCTACCCGTCTCCGTTTGATCGGCGCGTTTTTCCCTCTTTCGTCTCTCGTCTCTCATCCTCTCCACTAGACCACCACAGTCTGTCTCGCTCTGAGAAACTCCTCGACTCGTTTCGCCTCATTTCAACGGACGACTCTTCTACTCTCTTCGTCTGTCAGCCACCTCCTCGTCGTCCTCGCCGTCCTCATCATCTTCGTCTCGCTTCCGCACGCATTTTTTCGCCTCGCCTTTTTCAACCAATTCAACCCCTCCCCTCCCCCGCGGCCACTTTCACAAGTCCCACTGTCACGCTTCAACCACCGACGCTTCTCCGTTCCTGCTCTACGAACCCCCCTCCCCCCACGCTTCCATTGTCCTCCTTCCACCGGCGTCGTCCGTTTCAACCCTCGCGATTGTCTCTCTTCAACGTCGCTCTTCGTGCCGCTTCTCCCATCAAACCTCGCGTTCTCACTCTCCTCGAGTGCACCTTCTCTTTCCCTTTTTATCATTCCCTCTTTCTCTCTCTCTCTCTCTCGACCTCCCACCAGCCCACACACACCCTCCGCCGTCGTCAAGCGCCGGTTCCGTGCGGATTGGTCCTGCGCGCTAGGGATGCTGCGAGATAATCGCGCCCTCTCACCCCTCGCGTAACCAACCCCCGCGAGTCACCCCGCATCGAGGGAAGCAGCAGTGAGAGCCAGGCCGCCGCCATAGCCGCTCCCCGGGCAACGAAGGAGGAGAAACCGGCGAATCACTCTCTCTTCCTCTCACCCTCCTCTGTCACCCTCTTTCACAATCTTTCCGTCTCCGTTCAACCCCCGAGTATCCGCGTTGCGGTGCGCGTTTCTCCGACGGCGTTCTCTAACCTATATATCCCGGGCTGGAATTTCACCAGCGTGACTCGCACGCGCGCGAACCCGACCGACCGACCGGGCGAGCACCCGGCGGTGAGGGTGACGTGGACCCGGACACGCGCGCCGTTTTCGCGAGCAGCGTGCGCTCGACGCGAGCGTGCGGAGAGACGGTGCTGCTGACGAAACGTCGGTGTCAACGACGAACGACGAAGACCGCTCTGCGTTGATGATGACGAGCAGGCAGAGAGTGCGTAGATGAGCCACCGAAAACAGTCGAGGCTTTCTTTCGGCGACGATGTCACTTCGACGACGACGGCGGCGGTAGAGGCTCGCGCGTGTCGTCCACGTAGGTGACCCGCCGTCGCGAATCGCGCCGATCGCGCTCGATCGCGAAGGATACCGTCGTTCCGCGCGGCCGGCACACGTACGATCGCCGACATCGCGTCGCGCACTTGATCGATCGCGCCGGTGACCGCGGATCAAGAATCGCGCGACCGGAGCGGGAGTTCGCAGCAGTGACTGCTGAGAGTCTCGTGGATCGCCATGTCAGTGTGAGTGCTCGCTGTGCAGGGAGAGAGAGAGAGGGAGAGAGATCGCGGATGTCATCGCGGGTAGATAAACACGGTTCGCGCGAACGTGGAACACTGTGACACGCACCGCGCAGTCACACGGTCAAGTCGGAGTGATCGTCGCTGGAAACGCGAGTGTTTCGGAGAGAGAGGGCCGCTTCAACGCCGAGCGGGCGGTACGAGGACCGATGCGGAGAGACGCTTGCGACTGAGCTGAATTTCCACGCGACGATGACGTAAACGCGCTCCGCTAAAGAAATTCGGGGCCGAAGGATTCGGCGCGTGCGAGGTACCAACTAGTCCCAACGAGTGTCACCATTAAGTGCGAGCGTATCGATTTCACGTCGACGATGTTTATGCCGAGACTGTGCGGTGATTCGCGAAGGAGCACACCTTCGTGCTGACTCGCGCGCGCGAGCGAGTCGTGATCGAGCATCGCGATCGATGCCGATGCTCGATCGCAGAGAGTTAACACCTGCCGGAAGAAATCTCAGGGAAATTATCCCTCGCCGAGACGCAAAACCGCATACTTCACCAAGGCGTTTCACAGCGAGAGAGTGAGAGAGGGAGAGAGAGAGAGAGCTCTCCCCAGTCTTTTCTCGGAACGAGAGGCTACGCGTAGTCAATAACGCGCCGGCGAGTGTCCGCGGGCAAAGTGCACGCGTGATATTCGCCGGAGAATTTAATTAAGTGACCAAACAGCGGGAAAATAGCCACCGAGCCGAGAGAGAGAGAGAAAGAGGGAAAGCGCAGGTTTTAAAATTTCTCGCCGATGGCGAGAGGTCAATTGTGTGGTCGGACGGACATTGCGAGCGTCACGAATAGGCGCAGCGATATCGTTTAATGGTGATCTCGAAGCGCAGATAACGGCGACAGCATTTATATTTCAACTTTATATTGCGCATTTTATTTCCCTTTCCAAAACAGAAGGCAGAGAGAGAGAGAGAGAGAGAATAGCGCGCGAACGATTCTCTCGTATGTTCCGCGTCCCACGTCCCTCGATTCGGCGCTTGAAAGTGTAATAATTATCCGGCGCGGTGTCAGTCCGAGAAAGTAAAGCTACCGGACGCGAGGGACGATTCCCGGCGACAATCGACTGTTCGATCGCAACAGAAGCAGCAATAGCAGCGGCGGCGGTGGCGGCGGCGGTGGCGGCGGCGACGACGACGGCAACGTGTCGGCACGTGCGTGGCATTAAGCGAACCACCGCGAACAATTGGACGCGATAATTCGATTGCCGGTGCATCTGACGCCTCAAGTTCCGGCTTTCGCCTGTCCGAACGGGCATGTAGGGGACGCGCGTAATCGCGGCTCATTAAGCGTTACGAACGCTCGAACAGAGCGCGTTGGCCGTTTGATCGTCCACGTCGCGCCGTTTTGTTCCGCTGATGTAACGTGGTGCACCTGCAGTCACGTGCCCCCCCCCCCCAACAGCGCGACCGATAAGCCGAGTCAGCCGCGCGGATTCGGCGGAGAATTTAAGAGACCGCTCACGGCCGATCTCGCCGATTGAGCTCGGCTGGTCCGCAGACGATCGATTCGACCCCTTCGACTGGCCGCGCTCTCGTGGATCCGTCGAGAGCCGAACCGATCGTGAGCCGATCGATCGTCGACTCCCCCCGCGAGTGCGAGAATTCTACTTGTTGCGAAGGACAAAGAAGTGCGTCGAGAGGAAAGAAAGAAAGAGAGAGAGAGAGAGAGAGAGGGGACGGGGTTCCGTGAGAAACGAAGAAAGCCGCCGCCGGAAGCGGAAATTCGCGTCTGCGCGAGTGTGCCGAGATCGTGTCGCGATCGCGTGATACGCGTTGCCGCGAAAGTGCCGCGTGAGGAACGAGGTCGTGGGTGAGTGGTATCTCGCCGATCCGATGTGAACAGCACGACGGGAAGATCGGTCGATCGCTTCCTGAACGGGGGAGAAAGCAGTGCCGATCCGATCATCGCGCGATGCCGCGTCGCAACGACGACCCCGCCGTCGTCGGCTCGGCACGAGCTGCGCGCGACGGGATGAGAGCGAATGGTCGACGTGTGCGAGAACGAGAGTAGGTATGTGTCTACGCACGTGTGCACGTAGTTACATCAAGCTAGGACACAGCCATGCGGGGGGGAGGGGTGGTTTTCGGGGGCGAAGAGGACACCGGTCTTTCCGAGGACGACGGCGCGACCCCGTGTTTGCCATTGTTGCAGGATTAAGCGAGGCGCGCTCTCACCCTCGAAAGGAGCTATGCCCTTTAACGTCACGGCAAGATCGATCTCGCGCACTCGAAACGTCCGACTCTCGCAATTCGTTTAATCGAAGCCAAAGGGGTTGAGAAATTAACCCCCCCCCCTCTA